TTACACAGAAGGGGAAAATTGCTGACATTATTTGTTCTTGTATTTACATCCCTATATACACCAAAACCCAGCAATCATTCACATGGTAATTACATTTCTAGGAACATGGGAACTGGAGAAAGAAGGTGACCACTAAAAAGAGGATATATGAGCCAGTCTTTAATTGTTGACATTAAGAAAACAAACTAATAAGGGGTACAAAACTACTAAATTAGGTAAAAATTGATGCTATCTTAAAAGAAATCCATTCTGGGTCATTGAAGTCTTACATCTAAAACAACTAAGCTATCTGTTTCTTTTGACTGCTTTACTACAAAAGAGCTAAATTACAGGGATCAACTTAATTCTCTCTATACATTCAAGTTCAGTTTTTGGGTGGTTGCTTTTTTTTTGTTTGAAGGTAACCCCTTCATGTTCAAAGCAAGAACATTTACTTTGAAAAAAGTCTGGGGGCAATTTGTGTTTTGAATGCAGCTGTCCACTGATAGCAAGTAGACACATTAAATGCATATTTACATCTTGGCTTAATCTCCACAGTCATGTTGCTTTTTGTTGGGTGTGTATATTTCTAAATAAAGAGGTGAGGATTCAGTTGGATACATAATACTGATGGAAAAAGACCCATTAACAGATCGAAGAAGACACTGTTTTCCTCTTCATGCAGTGCCCTCAATTACCTCTGTCCCAGCTTTCTTGTGTTAGCCAAAAGTTTGCTGCTGAGGGTTCTCCATCCTCTGGAGCAGATTTTGAGCTCTACAGGTTACTTGTGGGGTTACTATGGTGCTGGGAAACAGTGTCTTTTTTAATTCATCTAACATAGCCATAACTACTCAGTTGAATCTTGACCAAAGTCCAAAAAATCACAAAAGTCACAAAATTGCAAACACTCCACCTTAGTTCATGCATTGACACAGGGAATGTATATTAGCTATATTCAACTTAAAATGTCAGTCAAGCACATTTTATCAATACAGAATCAGTATGGTTTAGTGATTTGAGACTTCAGGAGACCATGGTTTAAATCTCTGCTCAGACATAAATACCTCTTGAGTGACCTTGGGCATATCACACTCAGTCTCAGAGGAAGGCAACTGCAAACCTACTCTAAACAAATTTTGCCAAGAAAACATGATTGGTTCACCTTAGGGATGTCATAAGTTGGAAATGACTTGAAGGTACACAACCACAACAGTTGAACCAATGGGATTTAACTATGTGTTGATTCATCATTCAACAATTGATTTAATGGGTCTACTGTAGTTGGGACTAAGGGCCCTTCCAGATAGGCTTCCACTGCAAGATAATGTAGGATAAACAGAACACCTGTGATTGGATTCTGGGACATAGGGCCTGTCTGGAAGGGCCCTAAACAACAAGAGTTTGGCCATATTGTGCTTTGATTTAGGGAAGCTAAGGATATGCTGATGATCTTACTGTGCATTAACCTTAGGAGAGCCAGAGGGTAATAATGTCCAGTGAAGTCACTGGAATACCTTTTGCTTCCCCAAGTCTAATGAGAAGGCACCGGGAAGACAGATGGTTGATTTTTAGGTTAAACTGAACTTGCCAAATTCATGCTTCCTGAGCCAATGCATGAACTGAAATGAAATTGTCCTTTGGTATTTGCACTTCTGTGACATCATTCTCAGTTTATAACTGGAATACACAAAAAAATATTGTAGAAAACAACATAGAGGAATATACTGGCAAAATGCTTGCAAAAAGCACATTCTGCACATGGATTTTTCAGCTACTATTTTTAGGTTCCTATAACCTGACATTTTCCCCCTTTGTTTTCATGAGTTAGGTTTTAATTTCTATTCATCATTAATTTGCCTTAAGTCTATTATTGCCCCATGATAGATTTGCCATAAGGTAAAAACAACTTGTAGGCACACAATAACAATAAGCAACAAAGCAACTTAGTGTACATTTTGAAGGATTCTGTAAAAAGAAAGGTCTTGTATGAAATAACAACAGAGTGTTGAGAAACCAGTCTAGCCTCCCTTGAGAACAAGTGTGTATATGGCCTTCAAGCCAATTGTAGATTATGGCAACCCCATGAATTTCACAGTTTTCTTAGGCAAAGAATACTCAAAGGTGGTTGAATATTCATTCCTCTGAAATATAGCTTGAAGCATTGGACATGCATTGGTGGTCTTCCATCCAAACAAGGCTCACTCTCCTTACCATCCAAGTTCAGGTGAGATCTGGTGCCTTTTCCAACACATCTGGAATGCTTCAAGATGTTACTTTAGGAATAGCAATTGAGATTTCCTTCTGTCATATCCTACTGGGCAACATGGACCAATAACCCACTCCACCCACGACAGTTTCATATTTTCATAGTAAATTGTGTGTAAGCATCCAGTCATTTTGTTCAGATCACCTGCAAAAGTTGCATTTGGAAGCATGTTGTGATGCCAATGCAGAACTTTTCACTTGTGTTTTCAATGGCATTAAACCCTACAGATGGTCTAATACAGGGTCCTCAAACTATTTAAACAGAGGACCAGTTCATGGTTCTTCAGACTATTGAGGGCCTCATGGACTATAGTTTGAAAAAAAATAATAATGAATTCCTATGGAGACTGCTAGGATTGTAGCCAGAAATTTTTTTGGAGCGGGGGGGGGTGTTGTTTTTTTTTAGTGAATCATGAAGAGTAGTTCCATAACACAAAATAATTTAAATAATATGGATCATTCTATATTTTATATAGACTTAATTACATCAATTTAATTTTTGCTTCTTATAAACCTAGCATGGGGATTTGGTTAACCAGTTAAAATTCATGAATAAACTAGGTTTTTCATTTTAACCTGAAAAATTTTGGGCGGGGGGTGTTGAATCCCTACCCCCCTTCCTCACCTGCACACTGCACACATCTTATTTGTCATACAAAAAAGTGAAAGAACAATACAATATTTAAAATGAAGAACAATGGGAAGTGTTAGCCTGCATTTGGCTGATGAGATAGCCAAGTTAATTCGGATTGTTGTTGCCTAAAGTTAAGTCTAAAGTTTAGGGCAGGGTGGGTAATTGACCTTAGAGGGTCTACAGGCCTAAGTTTGGAAACCCCTGGTCTAATGGAATAGAACTTATTGACACTGAAACATTTCAAACAAGATCAAAATGTGTCAGGATTATGATTAAACTCTCAAGCTGTATTGGAAAAAGTACATTTTTGCACTGTAGCATGTGTACTAAAAAGGTAACTTCCCCAAGCTGTTATATTATTAAAGTAATATAAAAGTTTTCCCTGATTTGAATGGATTCAAAGTTGGGTTTACTTGTTATTTCTAACAAGCTTTTTCTGCAGTATTTTCCCACCAATATTCATCTTCTCCTGCATAACATCCGTTTTATACAGTTATTTCCAACAGCTCTAACCCAGATACACATTCCAGTGCTCAAACCACTAGACCATAGTGGCAGTCTATGCTCATAAATGCAAATATTTGGGCTGATAGTCATGCCTATCCTTAATCTCATTAAATCCTATTGGGAATTAGTGGTTGTTGTGGTTAATCTTTCCAGGATATCCCAATAACATTTAAACATAATTATATACTGAATGAACATAATTTCAGTAAAATAGTAAGTTGAAAGTTATAATTATATTAGAAAAAACAAAGTTTTCTAGTATTATTGGACTTTCTTCATTTACCTTAACTATATCAATGAATTGGTCATATTTGTTTTAGATGTTACAGTGGGATTGGACATCAAATATAAAAATTGCAATTAAAAGTCTCTTCAAGCAGGTGCAAGCATTTAAGAAATTAACACAAGGATATAATGTTAAAAGAGATGAAAGGATTTTTTTTCACAACAATAAAGTTCAAAAGGGCTGTTCTTCTTGACATTTCTGATGTGGTCTGAGTGTCTAAGCTGTTTAAGAGTAAACATCTGTTGTCTGCAATGATTTTATCTTCTCGATTGATGTGAAGTGCTCAGATCAGTTCACAATCTGGAGAAGACCAACGAAAATTAGGAAAAAAATATAGGATCAGGGAACTCTTAATAGCTCGACAGTTGGCATCTCGATCTGGGCATGGAGCGTTCTTTATATATGAGAGCTAATGTCCAAAATTTGGTGAACCTTGGAGACATTTTGTGTCATGCTCTGAAATAGATCTATTTCCCCATTTTTGAAGGATACAGAAAAAAACATGAAAAATCAATTAAGGCAGTTATCAGCATGCATTAGTGTCTCTCTGATTTTTGGAGTGTTTATGTTTTCCTCAGATGACTAATAGCAACCAAATTTTGGGTGAAACCATGCAATTTCCCCTATTGTTATACTACAACATTCCAGCTTTGTATTTATGTAGCAAAGCTTAATTATCAGCATAATGTGTAAAACAGTAGAGTGATTCATTCAGCTGCATGTGTTTGAAATTAAAGAACTTGTGAAACAGTTCCTTTTTATGAAATTGCTAGTAAACATTTTTGGAGAATGAAGGAGGGAGAACAAATACTGTATTACTTTCTCATTAACTGAGCCGAACATGGGGAGAGATATCGTTACATAATTGTTGTGCTGTGCCTATTTGAATCCCTTCATTGAAAAGAAAAGAACTTTCCTAATAACCTGTTCACTAGAAAACTTGCAAGTGCTTTCCACATTTGCAAGGGGTGGGATCCTCCTAAGGGATTGCTGCACCTTGAGTTTTTACCACCATGACTTTTAGGATGCTTTGTTTTCATCTAAACCACTACACCACTTTTCTCAAAAGGCTTGTTTATACTTCCCCATGTATCCTCTTAAGAATATCCCTAGTTACAATCAAGGGGACTATAAATAGAGAGAATATTGTTTTGATATTCTTGCATCCACCCCTTTCGGTAGACCCAGGAGTTTACACACACTTACTGAGCAAAGGAGGACCAGCAATACTCACCTTTCTTGATATTTCCCCCTCGCTGCCCCATTCATGTTGAAGTGGTAAAGACGGGTGATACCATAAAGAGAATGAAAAGCTTTAAATATACTCACCGTTCAGGGCAGAGGAGAAAGAAGACCACAGCTGTCCAACTCTTGGGGCTCTGGATCTTATTAACGTCACTGAGCTCTGGAGCTGAGAGCTGAACTTTCCCTGCCGTTAGCAGGCCCCTGAATGAACTGGAGTTCGCCAAACTTTCTGCAGCTAAATAAACTCACTATTACTTGAAGGCTTCCTCCAGAACACAAAAGTACAACAAATGGGATGGTGTGAGTACAATGACCCCACGGAACCATTTGAAGTCTGCAAATTGACTCCTCGGCTAAAGGATATCATGGAAGGAGGGGGAATCTGTCCCTCCCCCTTAGCTGTAACCTGCCTTTCTCAATGGAGTATAAAGTGTTGCAGCAGCCGGCATTGCAGTTGTGAAGAGACACTGCTGTATTCCCTTATTGTCTCCTTGTAATCCCTCTTGCGATCAGAGACATAGAAAAACTCAGCCTACACTTTGGCTGCCTCATTATGTTTCAAGTGGAAAGCAAAAGACACAATTTAAGAGGAGTGTTAAATACCATACCTGCAGGGTATAACATGTACATGAAGCAAGTGTTTGAACTTTTTCCTCTTTATGATACATTTCAGGTATTGTTAACAACGACATAAAAAGTGGTGTATGTGTGTGTTTTAAAAAAAGAGGCTCCCTTTGAGGGAGTTAGGTTCACAGTAAACCTGATATCTTTCTGTTGTCCCACTGTTAACAAATGTTAGATGGCTTGAAAAGACTCTCTGTAACTTGGGATGTTTGTTATTAACACATATCATGTTATATTTGTGTCTTACAGGTTGACTCTAACCAGCATCAAGGATGGTGGGCTTAAAATATAGTTGTTAACATGACCATTAGGTGCCTGAACCTGTATGGATTCCTTTTGGACTGAAAACCGAGCAACTGGCTAAGCTTTCGGTTTTTAAAAAAGAACCTTGTATTTATATAATAAAAACAGCATCATTCATCAGTCAGGTCCCTTCACTCACGTACTACGATGTGTCTGCAAAAAAGCTTGACTTATGGTAAGTAATAAAAGTGAAATGACTTCCTTTCTGTCTGCCCCCAGTTTCTTCAGTTTCTCTCTTTCCATCTCTCCCTGGAGTCTATTAAAAGGATAAAAACAATGAATATTGGTGGTAAAAGAGAAGCAGCAAATAGTTGATACTGGCATTTAAGAAATGGCTGGCTACAGTTAACTCTCAACATCTGTGGGTTTCACTTTTGTGGATCTGATTTTTTTTTGTAGATTTGATCAAAATGTTCTCTTTAGAAATCTCTAGGTCCTTCAGTGCAACTCTGTGATCACCTTCCAGCGAATATTGCAGGTTTTCCTTGGTCAAAGTGGCTTTGCCCTACTTCAAGCAATGTTGGAGGATGCTTCACACTTTGCTGGAAACTTTGGCTTTGAGGACATCTGGATAACTAGATTGCATCTGATTTAGATTAATCCACTGTCCAGATAGGACACTGGCACTATCATCCTTCCCTGTCCTCATTAATACAGGAAAAAGAAGATGCCCTTTCATCACATTCACCATTTATAGTCAGCCAAGAACTCTGAACTCCCAGCCATCATGAGTGCCCCATTTTGACATCAACAGAGGCAGTGCATGACTAGGAAGAAGAAGAAAAAAAGAAGAAGAATTTTATTTTTTCTACCCTGCCTCCATCTCCCCGAAGGGACTTACATGGAGCCAAGCCCAGGCAACATATAGTTAAAAACAAAACCAAAAAAAAATATTTAAACAGCATAAGAACAACATCATCATAAACAGTAAGAAACAAGCATAATAAGCAATAGCAGAGATACCTCTAGTCCCATTTTGGGGAGGGGGGGCACTAGTGTGCAAACGAGTTAGAGGATAGGCTGATCAATAAGGTGGATAGAACATATAGTAGCATAGGCATACCACAATTATGACAAGATCATTTCAGTTTAATTTAAAAGTGTAGTAATCAAATACAGGAACTTGAATTCAGGTCATGGTTAAGGACCATCTGCCAAAGGAATTATCAATCGAATGCACAAACTGCTACAAACTGATTATTGTTCCCACAGAGAACTATGGTATTTACTTTTTTGAATTTTGAATCTCATTGCTTTGGTTCTGTGAGAGAAAGTACTTCTGCAGTTGTGACTTTTTAATTAAAAAACCAAAAGTAAAAAAAGAAAGTGATTTAAAACTATGGAGGAGCAAGTAATGGGAGGAGACAACACCCAGCCATGTGATGGGAAATGGAGCGGATGGATGAGATAGAAATGGGAGGATGCGACCCTGTGTGATAGACTTGTGTGAATTCCTTTTTCTTTACAGGCATAAGGACATGCAAAAAAGATGATTTTACCCCCTCCTTGTGGAATGAGGTCCTGTATTCGAATTTTGAGAAACTTTCAATAAGCCACTGGAGTTGACAGCTTATGTATATTTTTCTGGACTTTCAGTGAGACTTAATTGAAACAAAATCCTTGGGATTAAGATGGATTTAAGGGTATGTTTCTGGTTTGAATGAAATCCCAAATCCTGAGCTAAACCAGGCTTCTTCAGATAAATTTGGAATTCACTCAAAATGAGCCAGGAATCCCTGAAGTCACACTGAAGCAAATCTGGAGCTTTCCAAAGCTTTATGAGCAATGCAGAAATTTAGAAGGAGACAGAGCAAACATCCAGATGCTCTTCACATTTTCTAGCAAAATGAGACTGGATTTTCACCCAACTTGTTTGTTTGGCTGTTGTTCCAGTGATTTATTTATTTTCTAGTTTATTGCATTTATAAGCTGTCCCTTTTTCTAGTGTGGAATCCAAGGTAGCTCACAAACAATATAGCTCAAAAGATAATAACAAAATGAAAACACAATTAAAATATTACAATTAAAAATGATTAATTAAACAATATACAATTTCACAAATGAAAAAGTCAGTGCTGCCCTTATAAAGATTCCTACAATTAATTAGTCATTAAAAATCCAACTTAAGCAAGGAGGTTTTTGCCCTCAGCTAATGAAAATACCATCTGGATAATAGGTTCCTGAAGCCAGTAGTATTGCACCATTTTATTATAATCATATCTTCCCTTTCTTCAATTTACCATTGCAGATTATAATATCTTTCCCCCCAAGCCTTCAGTTCAAACAGTGACAGTTGATGGCTTCTGTCTGTCTGTCTGCTCAGCAATCAACCCCACATTTCTTCCAAAACTGGAACTCAAGGAAGTTTGCAAGGTAAAAGAAAATACAATTAAAACACACATTAACAAAAACCCATGTTTTTTGGACCACTATTCCTGCAATGAACATGGGAACAATGGTCCCAAAAGTAGTATGGGAGCTCAAGTTCAAAAAGTAACTCTTCCAAGTTGTGGTCTCCAGAAAGAGAACTTCTGTGTATTAAGGGTCTGTGATTCAGGCTGTTAAAATACTACAAGTTTATTTTTGAATACAATGTTATATTTTTGAGAAGCATTTATATTACAAATATACTTGTTTATCTTTCCTATGAAAACAGGTTTTGATCCTCTTTTTGGAAAGATCACTTGAGGTACATCAGTTGCGAACTTCAGAGAACCTAAAGTTGATTATATTGGACCAAATGTTATCTCTTTAGTCAACAAAAGTAAGCACAGAACAGTAGTAGTCATTACGACGGCACTGGAACAAAAATAACAAGAAACAAGGATTAAAAGAAACAAATACTGGTAGAAATAATACAAATTGCTTTGGTGCCATAAGCCTTATCAGAACATCACGGAAAATTCAACCTTAAATGAATTAAGATACAACAACATACAGTTTAATTTTGAATTTCCCAATCTTGACTATGACACAATGCTTGTTGAGATAAGTTGTTGTGATTAAATTTCATAAACCTAATTGTGTCCTCAGATAACATTCTACCAGCTGGCTTTTCACAGGACTAGGAAGTGTAAATTATAATCCTATCGTCATAAAACAGAAACTATGCAAGTATTTTCTACATTGTTTTAAAAATTCAGTAAATATACAATGAAATATACAAAGTTTGAGCAGAAATAGTTTTAACTGAATGTCATTTCTAGAATACACACACACACACACACACACACACACACACACACACACACACACACACATATATATATATATATATATATATATATATATATATATATATATATGAAAACATGTGCAAATATTAGAGCTTGTTCAGGAAGGATATTGATAAGCTGGAAAGGATCCAAAGGCTGACCAAAAAGGCTAAAGGCCTGGAAGCTAAGCCCTATGAATAGGAGGATTGTTCACATATTGACAATGTCATAAAATATTATGTAATGAAGACCAATTCTAACCACTATCATAGAATCATAGAGCTGGATGAGATCACAAGGGCCATCCAGTCCAACTCCATACCATGCAGAAATACAAAATCAAAGTTCTTCTGAAAATGGTCATTCAGATTCTGTCTGAAAGCCTCCAAAACACTATACTCCCATTGATGCAGTCTAGAATTGCATTGGTTTTTCAAGCTGCCACACCACACTGTAGATTCATGTTCATCAGAAACAGTCCTTCCTTCTCCTGATGTCTTCAACACATGTTCCATCTTGTGAGTCAACTATGGCTAGACAATACCATAAAATTAACAGAATTAGATGATCCAACCCATTAAGAATTTGACTACTCTCTCTAGTACCAAACTGCAGCCTGTTTGGTTGTAAGGTGCCAATAATAAAAAAAATGTGTATGTTTCTACACACATTGCACCATACTCATTTTTGCAAAGCCTGCAATTTATTTATTTTATTTTATATATTTATTTAACTTGTATACCACTACTCCCAATTTGGCTTGGAGCGGTTTACAGAAGCAGATTAAAACAATACAATTATCTTTAAAAATAACAATAACAAAACCATAGGCGGCGAGAACAGGCAAATGAAGTCAACAGATTTGTTGACATTTTCTCATACTTGTGAATATAAGAAAGCTTAAGTTCTTTCAATCCTTAATATGAAAAGGTTTGCAAATATGGATTTTTTTTCATGTCAGGAGCGACTTGAGGCACTGCAAGTCACTTCTGGTGTGAGAAAATTGGCCATCTTCAAGGACATAGCCCAGAGGACGCCATGATGGTTTAATGTTTTACCATCCTTGTGAAAGGCTTCTCTCATGTCCCTGCATGGAGCTGACAGAGGGAGCTCAACCTGCTCTCCCCGATTTGAACCACTGACCTTTGGTCAGAGTTTTGCTGGCACAAGGGTTTAGCCCATTGCATCACTGGGGGTTCCTTGCCCATCATGACAAAAATAGGAGGAAAGGTGTTGCATATACATACCATCTGCTGATTTTGCCACATTACCTCCAGGTCATTTTAGGCCTTTCAAAGAAAACCAGATACTAACCAGTTCACTTTCTGCTTAAGATTCTCCCTAGCCTGAAGTGTC